TGTCCCGCTCGAAATACTCAAGTATTTTCATAGCTAAGAATTTCCAGCTATTTTAGCAATTGTTATATTAGTGTCAGTGCCAACCGGAAATATGCAGAAGTGAAGACAGTTTGCCTGCCTCGAAATCACCGGATTCAAATCCTGGATTTGAACTAGGTACGGACATCGACTAAGGGTACGTGTGGATAATACGTGACCACCTCCTCAAGGACGTCCAAGACTGGATTTTTCCTTCCTTCAATTTATTTATTTTTTTTATTAGAGAACTGATTGCTTTGAAAATAAGCATTTCTTTCTTTTTATCAATGGCTATTGGTGCAAGAAAAAAATGTCAACTATATTGGCCAGCAAATATTCTCTCTGTATAGAAAAATAAAATGAATATTTAAAAACCATATTTGAAAAGAAGTGCCATATAAATAAGAATATATAATGATTTATAAATGCCTAATATATATATATATATATATATATATATATATATATATATATATATATATATATATATATATATAAAAGTGAACAAACATCAGGGCACATGCTCATTTGGGAAGACAGTGGGACTGACACAAAATTATTTTAACGTGTTCTCTTCCTAACCTAATAGCTCAAATTTTTTTTCAGTGATACTTACGACAAATATTTCATGCTAGACGCAATCATCAGGCCACATCATGTGGCCTGATGATCGCGTCTAACATGAAACAATCTGCCGCCTCTGAGTGTTGACTTCAATGTTCACTTTTATATTTACATACGCTCTATCTCTGATATTGAATAGTTTATCTCATAAATATAGCACACCATAAAACTATATTTCTTCATATATATATATATATATATATATATATATATATATATATATATATATATATATATATAATTTAAGAATTTAAGCGCAGTACTAGATTAGATTGGGCCAGGTCTCATCCATTTACAGTTCACTACATGTAACCGTAAGTTTTATGATAACCGTTTCTATTATCGCATTTCTCGTTTGTGGAACTCTCTTCCGGCTCAATGATTTTCAGTTAAATTTGATCTTCAAAAATTTAAATGCAATGTCAATCGTTATCTATCGTCTTTTTAATTCTGCTTCTATTGTTCTCACTTCTTAAATGTTTCTTCTTTTTTCTCATTATTATTTCCAACTCTGGCATCACTTGTGTCTTATTAGCTTTACTGCCTTGCATGGGTGATATGTTTAATATATATATATATATATATATATATATATATATATATATATATATATATATATATATATATATGTGTGTGTGTGTGTGTATGTGTGTGTGTGTGTTATTGCACATTCAGTGCTGGCAAGTCATCTTAAAAAACATATCTAAAGGCAGCTACTGGTGATGAATAATATATATATATATATATATATATATATATATATATATATATATATTACATTGCTCTCGAGATTTATATCCTTCCCGGAATTATCCATACAGATTACCAATTAACTTTATTTTTTATATATATATATATATATATATATATATATATATATATATATATATATGTAAAAATAATATGAAGGAATAATGAGATTTATAATTCAGTTCATAGCAATTATTTTTATTTTTAAAAGACAGTGCTCCATACAACAGTAGAGCATAATATGATTATGTTTTTTAAATATATAGTCATTGCAACACCGAAATTCCCATGTTTCAAAACTGGAACCTCAATTTAAATTCAATCATACAATTATTATCCATTATCAAGCGATACTAAGAATCTTAGAATGTTCATTTGTTTGTCTCTTCTCTGTGTTTTGCGTAGATGACATCCACATAAGTAAATACTTACTAATATGTAATATTATTAATATTTGACACATTCTAATATCAGTCAGTTATGTGCCATGCGTGATAAACGCTTAGACGATTATGCATCTTTCGATATATGACTGACCACGCAGATTTTTCCCGTAATAGGTGGCCATTTCTTTCAACGTTAGACCAGTTGCCATCCAAGGCTATAGAACCCAGTTTGTCCTACTATTTACCCATAGTTGGGGAGAGTAGAAGAGGATTCATACATTTTCGTAAGTGAATGTAATGGATTCAACTGGAATTCGAACTCGGCTCTCAGATTCCTCAAATATTTACTCCACCGTACCTCCTCACACAAATATAATATAATATAATATAATAATATTGATATTAATATAATATAATATAATATAATATAATATAATATAATATAATATAATATAATAATATTGATATTAATATAATATAATATAATATAATATAATATAATATAATATAATATAATAATATTAATATAATATAATATAATATAATATAATATAATATAATATAATATAATATAATAATATTAATATTAATATAATATAATATAATATAATATAATATAATATAATAATATTGATATTAATATAATATAATATAATATAATAAAATATAATATAATATAATAATATTGATATTAATATAATATAATATAATATAATATAATATAATATAATATAATATAATAATATTGATATTAATATAATATAATATAATATAATATAATATAATATAATATAATATAATATAATAATATTGATATTAATATAATATAATATAATATAATATAATATAATATAATATAATATAATATAATAATATTGATTAATATAATATAATATAATATAATATAATATAATATAATATAATATAATATAATAATATTGATATTAATATAATATAATATAATATAATATAATATAATATAATATAATATAATATAATATAATAATATAATATAATATAATATAATATAATATAATATAATATAATATAATATAATATAATAATATTGATATTAATATAATATAATATAATATAATATAATATAATATAATATAATATAATATAATAATATTGATATTAATATAATATAATATAATATAATATAATATAATAATATTGATATTAATATAATATAATATAATAATATAATATAATATAATATAATATAATATAATATTAAAAATAAAATGTACTATCAAGGGTTGAAGTAATAATCTGTAAAAACTAAAACGATACTTTTGATAAACCCTAATAATAATAAAATATTTAATCAAGACCCATAACGTATAGATATTGTCGCTGGGAACTCAGAGTAGAGACAGATAATTTAATTCTATTTGTTATATATATATATATATATATATATATATATATATATATATATATATATATATATATATATAGTGGACGCTGAAGTCAAGATCCGGATATATATATATATATATATATATATATATATATATATATATATATATATATATATATATATATATATATATAGTGTTGACTTCAGCGTCCACTTACATATTTACGCCTTATCCTTGATATTGAGCACTTTAATCCATACATATAGCATACCTTAAAACTATATTTCATCATATATATATATATATATATTATTATTAATGGATTTATTTTTAACCCGGCATTTTTTTTACTTCAAACGTTACTGAAACTTGGATTTGAAACAGACGCCTCATTTTAATTTTTACTTTCAACAACCTGTAATACGTCTATTGGCCTGCGTATTCGAGAAATCCAGAAAGAACAAGTGACAGGAATCCACTTTACGGCGGTCTGAAAGTGACTGGCACCAGGATGTCAGGTCAGATTCTTTGGATTTTGTCAAGAATCTTTAGATACACAACGGAAGCACCAGAACAGATCTAGCGGCAGTAATGGAGAAACGAAAAGGAAATGATTCCACAATTTCTCCAAAGCAGTTACAGCAATTCAAAGAAAATAAAGAAAAGAAATTAGTGGCGATCCATGATCGCCGACGCCATGAATAGACATGGTATTTTAAAAGGTAGTTATAATAATTCAGCTAACACGAATAGAAGAATTCACGCAGACGTACATGCTGATTACAAAAGAAATACAATTCCTCGATTATCCAGACTCCTTGGGACAGAGGTTGAAAAACTTCTTTTATGTGTCCCGTCTATTTCTATATCAATAACGATTCTTTTTTTTTATTATCAAGTATGTGCTTCTTCTTCTTTTATGTGCGGTGTCTCTTCAGAACGTAGGCGAACATGGCCGTCCACATCTTCCTGACCTTTGTAGCTCTTAATAAGTTTTGTATTTCTGTTATTTCTCCCAAGCCCAGGTCATCCATTTGCTCAAGCTCATCAAGTATGTTACGCACTGCTTTCCTCAATCTCTCTTTCCTTTAATCTCTTCTGTGGGTAACAAATTTTCCAAGCCCTCCTTCCTCATTACGTGCAATTGTTAAGTATAAGTTTCCTTTTTGTTTCCATTTTCTCCAAAATCTTGTTGTTGCTCCCATGTTTCTATCCATGGTATACTCAGCATCTTTCTGTAGAACGACATTTCTGTTGCTTCAAGTCTCTTCTTTATATCTCTGAGGTTATCCAGGAGGATAACCTCAGAGATATAAAGATGTCGTAGAGGAGGATAGATATCACGTAACTGCTCAGTACTCTTTTTGTTTTGTTTTGTTTTGTTTCTAACGAATTTTTTTTCTGTCTCTTAGTAGTCTGCTTAGCTAAGTTGAAAAACTATGTTCGCACAATGCAAAATTATGGATAATTAAATAGCTAAGTTATCGAAAAAAGAAAAAATAATAATTTTCTGAAAGAAATTTAACACAAATATTATTAAATAGCATTTTAAAACGTTTTGTTCAAGTTTTTATCCAATTTATCTTTATGAAAAAAAATATCAGTCAGTTTTTTGCCTTTTTCCTTGTGTCTTTCTGCCATTAACTCCTGATCCTGGATTAAAATGAATGTATTTGTTCGAGCCGTGTTTCTCAAATTTCTTAATCAACGGCATACCTAGGAGCAAATGAAAATATCATGGCACACTTAGCAAAATAGGTATACATTTAAATGTTATTATATAAAACCATAGATTTAAAAAAAATACACACACAAATATAAACTTATTTTAATTCA